TAGCAGTAAGACATAGCAGTTCATCCAAAACTTAAAAGGCTTTTAGAAGACGGTCCTCTAAATATTCAGTTCAACCTGCACAAAACACACAATCTAAAACCACAGAGCATAACAGATGTATGAATCTCTTGCATTTGCTTCAGACCTTAAGCAAGAGACACAACTCTGCAAAGTCGATATAAAGATTAGAGCCCGACCGATTTATGGGCCAGCCGATAATATCGGGCGATATTACACTAGCAGTTCTCTTTACAGCAGAGTGTTCTGTATGGACTACAACAAGCATTATCCCTCTCCAAGTGTCAAGCGGTGACGCATGTACATGCACAGCTACTTTCCAGTTGAGTGACAATCCTGTCCTCATTGAATACCTTTTCCACAAGTGATAACTATATTTGAGGGATCAACGCTAAAAAAGAAAAAGATTAAAAACACAAAACTGGAAGAAAAGCAGTGTCTGTACCTTAGCAGCAGATGCTCGGAGGTTGTTCTTTAATAGTCTTTGTCCTCAAGTCGTAGTCAGCCAGATTACTGACTGAAAACAAATAAATGATTCAATCTTGGATGGAATGATGATAAAAGGATACACTTTAATGGCTCCTGACTTTGTCCCAATAGCCATGAGCTGCAGCTTCGGGTCGAAAGCCAAAGCACTGGGCTGATGGGGGAATCCATGCTCCACAGTCTGCAGGGGAAGAAGACAGATATTCAGATGACACAAGAAAACCAAAACACACAGATGTATTTCCTTTATTGTACTTTTTTTTTTTTTCCATTCGTATTGCACCACTAAAAGGTCGCCCCTCATAAAGTCAGAGGAAAAAGCTTTAAAACACTCTGACAGCAGACGCAGTGTTTTATTACAATTCTGTGCAGACTTTGTTAAATGGAAATTATAAATTCACAGTTCTTCCTCTAGCCCCTGTCAGGAGGAGGTGAGACAGCACGGAAATCATTTAGATATACAGAGAGGACTAAAAGAGAACTTTAAATCTTTGTAGAGAGATTATTATATATATATAATAATTTAACCTGCTTTAAAGAGGTCAATGGGGGGGGTTAAGATCCCTTAGCAGCCTCTGAGATATAAAATTTGGAAAGGGATTATTGAGCTTGGAGCTAAGATATGAGGTGAAACATTAACTCTTCGTTTTTTTAAGTACCCGTCTGATCCCTCACACTCTCTTCTCCCTCACACACACACATCACAAGAAACACTCCTGTTGAGCGACCACCTCTGATAGTTGTGGCAGCTGGTGCCAAAGCTTTAAAATGTCAGTGTGTGGCTGCCAGTATGTGCCTTCAAATTGCAAAAAAACAGTTCAAAAACTTGACACATTGATCCGGTATTTGAACCGAATGCATGTAGGGGGCCTGCTCCATTTGAAAAGATAGTTTGTACAGTTTATCAGGCAGTGAATACAGTACAAAAAGCAGCTCTACACCTCTTCACAATATGCCTCACTCCTCCTCAGCCTGCAGGTTTGAATACTTTCATTCATCAACCTCATACCTCAGAATCACACAACTGACTCTAATTTCACTGCTGTCATGATAAAATATATTTGAATACATCAGTACAGGTTGGTACTACAAAGTAGCTGCTCTGTGGTAACCATGGACACAAGCAGAATAGCAAGAGTGCAGTAGAATGTACGGGTTGCTTGGCTAGTGTTAGTTAAGTTGGAGTTTAAAAAAAAAATGTGTTTGTTGTTGATCTTGACTTTTTACTACCATTTTCTGCTCGTGTAACTGTTGAATGAAAGCAATATCACACTCAAGGTCGAGATGTTGTTCTGGATACCAGCGCTGCTTTGATTATCTTCGGCACGAGGCCGCAGCAGTGATGATATGCAGTCGGCCTACATCACTCCCTGTCGTGTATGCATGATGCTTAAACAACCGGCCTTTAATGGCACGAAGAGCAGGACTGAATTGAGCAGGCATGTGGGATGATAATCCCTGCGGACACCATGGATATTCTGTCATGCCGCACAGTTTTTGGAACGAATCCTCTGAGAAATTCTTAGTGTCTGAACTGTGTGTAAAATAAGTGCAGAGGAAACCTTGAGAAAGTTTGCAACCCTGGAGAAAATGTTTCAAGTGACTCATGTGCATCTTTGGTTTTTTTTTTCCAAGCGTTTGCAGACATTCACCAATCAATCTCACCACTCTGAGGCTCATTTCAGAGTTTGATTTGACAGAGAAGTGGGACGAGGGAAGACAAAAACACGGAGACAAGAATCAAGAAGGAGGCACCAGTGTCAATAGGAGATGGCCAGTTAAGAGTGGGAAGCAGAAAGAGACAAATCACTGTGATGCAGTATTGTTTTAGAGAGAACTCTTTGAAGTCAGTAGAGACAGTGCTGTCAAGTGATCGCAGATTCAGCAAATAAAAAAAGTTAAAGTGCTGCCAGTACTTGCGTTCTGTTTGATCTGTGCCTCTATGTTTTCGCTGATTGCATCAAAACAAATACTTTGTGTGTATCAGTCTTTGCAATAAAACCTGATTTTAAAAGCGTGGAACCAGACAAGACAGAGGACAGAGCAAAGAGTGGAGCGACGGACACATCAGTGAAGAGGGAGACACTTGACCAACAGACTGTGGTGTATTTTGTTGACATAGACTCATGGTGTGTGGCAAATTGTGGCTTTCAACATCAAAAACTTTGGACAGCGGGCCCTCTCTGGGACACTCTGCTCTACTTTTTGAGTATGCAGACAGACACTGGCCTAACCTAACCTTAGTTCAAGGCCACCGCAGTTAAGTTTGCTTTGGTGGTCTTTTGACACGGTTGGCCAAGTCGCAGCTCCCACCAGTTTAACAGCAAGTAGTCAAGGTGAAAAGAAAATGCTGCAGAATACATCACTCAAGAGTGGTAATAAGTAGGCCACAGGAAGATGATGTGACTTTTGATGTTCCTGAAGCAGACCTGAAACAAGACGCCACAACAAAAAGGAACCAAGAAACACACTTACAAGCTTGATTACCATTCTGATTAAATAACTAAAACTGCACTCACATTAAGCCTCAAAACTTGCTGCTGTACGAGCTTATCCTGTTAATGTGAAGCCTGATAATCCCCATCACTGACATAATCTGATGAAGGTTGGTTAATTAGTCATGTCGAGACTACTAGCAGAAGTTTCCACTTCTTCTTCCTCCTCCTCCTCCTCCTCGAGGGCCGTGTGTGTGTAAGTTAAGCCAATTAACACACACACACACACACACACACACACACACACACATACACCGGTACACTCACACACTCATCAACAAAGTGTCCCAAGTCGACCGTCCATCAACTGCAGTTTGCATCAAATGCCTGTTTCTGACTCGAAGCAGCTACAGAGAGGAGCGGCCGAGGAGGAGGAGGAGAGGCGGGGAGGGAAATGCTGCAGAGTGCTCGACTAAAAAAGAAAGCTGGGTCCCGTTTTGAAATGGAAACGTAGTTTTCTTTTTTTTTTGGGGGGGGGGGAGAGCATGATGAACCCCTCTCTCTCTCTTTCTCTCCCCCCTTCCTCGGAACCGTTACTTTACCTTGTTGAAGGCGAAAAGCTCCTGTTTTATCTTCTCTCTCTGCGGGTCCGTGCCCTGCCGACGAAACCTAAACTTCATCATCTTGAAGCCGGGTGGTGAAGGGGCGACAGGGCTGGTCGGGCGAGCGGGGAGACAACAAAACCGGACGCGGTTTCAGCCGTTGGACGATGCTAAACGCTAGCTAGCTGACTAGCCCATGCAGACTAGAAGCGGGGCTGCTGCTGCTGCTGCTGCTGCTGTGGGCTGCGGCTCTCCTCCCTCCTCTCTCTCTCTCCTCTCTCTCCCTTCTAGTGTTGTCTAGGTCGTGGTGGGTTTGACCACAGCCCCCGCCCCTCCTCCTCCTCCTCCCCCCCCATACAGCCACTCAACCCGGTTCACACGAACCCCGTCGTTTTTAACCAATGAGAGCGAAAAAATCTGCGAGCAATTACTGAGAAACGCCCACACAGCAGAGCAGAGCCCTTTGGAGGGGGGGTGCACATTACACACATTACACATTATACATACAGTAGGTCCAACACAACAACACAAAGGCGGTGAGTTCACCAATTAACATTTAAAACTAACTACAATAGTTTCCGCCAGTTAAAAAAATGAAAATAATAAAGTCATAATAATGAGATAAAAAGTCAAAATTATGAGATAAAAAGTTGAAATTATGAGATATAAAGTTGAAATTATGAGATAAAAAGTCTAAATTATGAGATATAAAGTCATAATAATGAGATATAAAGTCAAAATTATGAGATAAAACGTCAAAATGATGAGATAAAAAGTTGAAATTATGAGATATAAAGTTGAAATTATGAGATAAAAAGTCTAAATTATGAGATAAAAAGTTGAAATTATGAGATATAAAGTTGAAATTATGAGATAAAAAGTCTAAATTATGAGATATAAAGTCATAATAATGAGATAAAAAGTCAAAATTATGAGATAAGTCAAAATAATGAGAAAAAGTTGAAATTATGAGAATTCATTATTTTAATTTTTTTTTTTTTTACTGGCAATAATGGGCTTCCATATAAATCTATTGAAACTCAAAAATGTATCTTTTTCTTTAAGAAAACTGGGGTTTCATTTTAACAATTTAACATTTATTCTTTTTTTATCCTCTTTATAGAAATGGAGAATAAAGAATATCTGATTTTAACATTATATATTTTTTCAGTTATATTATACTTTCTGTTATATTTTGAATTTCCCTCGGGATCAATAAAGTATATATCTATCTATTACTAAAGAAAAGACTGAAAAACAATAAATGAAACATGAAACTTACAGTACCTGACAGATCTGAAGTAACTGGTTTTATTTAGTTTTTTATATGGTTTTGAACCTTTTTGTTTTTAATTAGTTAGATTCCATTTATTCATTACCGGTACATTTTTTTTCATTGCCAGTGATTTTAATGTTTATGTAGCTCTCCTCTACCCAGAAAAAAATTCCCATATCAGAATTGTGATTTGTACAAACTTTATTGTTTTCACAAGCATTATTACATACAACAGCTGTAATACAAAAAGTATATATGCATGGTTAAAAAAATGTAAGTGCAAAGAGTCATGTGGCCTTTAAATCCATTTAATCTGTTTCCTTTCCTTGATTTAATGGGATGAAGATTAAAGTTAATTTTATCACCTGTTGCTTTTTCTTGTTTTAAATTTAAATGGTAATGCAGCTTTGTTAATAAATGGATTTAGTTCATGAATGATGTATGTGGGTTACTCAAAGAGGACAAGGCTATTGTTTAGCTTCATAGTTTTTCTCTCAGTGTTGCATAAATCCGTTTTCTGTAGCTGACTACAGCAGGGTCTCTTCTATTGTACTGTGAAAATCAACATTTAAACAAAAGCTTATCAGGTCGTTTCATTCTTTTTAAGTGGAGAAGTTATAATCTCTTCTCTGTGAAGCAGCCATGGCAGTTAGGGTCTTAAACAGTTTTGGCTTAAAAGGTCAAACTAAAAACAGTTATGGGATGTAAGGGGGACCATTTTTTTAAAATATGACTTTCCACTTTTAAAAAAAAATGGGAGTATTTGTCTTTATAAGTTTCTCTGCAATAACAGTACAAACCTTGATTATCAGGGACTTGTCCGAGGCTTCTAATTTTAAATGTTAAACCTAAACTTTTAAACCTATTAAATTTGGCTTTGGGGATATGATTCAAATGTTCAACCTTTTCTGATATTTCACTGACTAAACATCGAGAAAATAATTATAGCGGCAGTCTGTTCAACATCGTCACCATCCATTCAGTATAATATTAAACAAATATAACCTTTACATATCAAAATATTCTACTTTCAAATAGAGGTAGATACAGTACATTTATAAGGCATACAATATAATCTCTCTCTGTGTGCATGTTCATGTTTGTGCTATAGAAGGGTGATTTCACTTGGTGGCAAAGTGAGTCTCTTTTCTCTGACCGACAACATGTTCTCCATGTGCATGGCAATGACTCGGCACAGCTCCAGACCCTGCAAAACACACCGCCACATTCAGAAACAGCCGTCGCAATTTAAAGTACAGTAACATACTGTAATATACAACTACATTCCTTTAATCTGTTTGCTTCTCACAGGACACACACACACACACACACACACCTGCTCCAGCTGTAGTTGTGTGATGCGTTGGTTGAGCAGGTCGCCTAACATGATCTCCACATACGGATAACTTGAGCCCGAAGTTGGTCTCTGGGTGCGAGTTGACTGGACCTCCTTTAAAGGGAATCTCACCATGGCCTCCTTCTCAAACAAACGCACAAAACCAAATCCATAAATAACATGTAATTCACAACCAAACAGGCGAGAAAAAAGACAACAGCATGATCTTATTGGCAAGAATTGCACAGATATAAATAAAATATATAAACTAATACAATATTTGATGTCAAGGGAAATGTTACAAAGTCATCTTTAATTTAGATAATACAAAGAAAGAATGACAGTGGAATGTAGCAAACATGATAACCAGCAGAGGGAGCCAAATCCTTTGTTTTGAAATTATTATGTGCTTGCGAAATTCATAAAATTCCAACTCTTTTTGGAATCTGAATCATGCAACATATCCCAGACTGCATGTCTGTCCCAGTGCAGGGCATGTTACATGTGTGATTGTGTTGCTGTGACATACATGAGTATCCTTGTTAAGAAAGTGCAGGCCGTTCAGATTCACAGCCAAGATGCACGGCGCCTGGACGGAGGCTGAGCTGCAGCTCTGGATGTAGAAGAAGGAGGAGCCGAACATGGGGAAAGCACTGACCAGACCTGAGAAAACACACATCCAAGACAAGAGTTAGTAAAATTACAAAAACAGAGGTAATGTGAAGATTCAGTCTCGGTTTATGAACGACCAATGTCTTTAAATGCAATTTTCTCCAAAAGTAGATAACTTTTAGGAAATGTGTTGAGCTCTTCTACCTAAGTGTTAAGAGACATTTCTACAACAAAATTAAAAAAGAATGACATAGTGATATTGTGAACCCAAATTCAGAGCCGCAGACTTACCAAGGAACTGTGCCCGGGCCTGGTTTGGGTTTAAGGGCTGGACATGTTGCATGTGCTGAGTTGTCATATTCAGCCACGGCTGCGAGCCCTGCTTGCCATAGAACGGTGGGGGGACACACTCCTGCACCTCACGGCTGGCGACACACATACACACACTAAAGTTGACAACATTCTGATTTTTTATACTTTTCGATACGGTAAAATAGCACGTTAAGTGTGTGTTCATGTGTGTGTATCTTTACAGGGTGGGCAGGTAGATTGTGTCTTTGGCACGGTGCTGTAGGGCGGCCAGTCTGGCGATCTGCTGCAGGTGCTGATCACTGGCCTTCCCCAGAGGGACCACACTCATCAAGGCCTTAAGGTAGTCTGGCAACACCTGAACAAAGAGAATAAAACATTAGGATTTATTTTTAATTTATATTTTACTTATTGCTCATTTGGAGACAGATATGTTAAGATCTTGAATATAAATACTCGTTTACCAAATCTACTAGTTTTGGTAAACTAGTAACCTTTAATAAAAGTATGCAGAATAAGCAGCAAAATCATTTGTTTATGATTATTTTGCATGTGTCATTACTGACGTAGTCTCATCCAAAAGGTCGGGAGACAAATTTAAAAAGTAAAAAATCTAGGTTTGGAAACAAACAATTTTGTCCATTAGTCAAAATATATTTTCCTTGTTGGGAAAATAATTGTATCATGAAACTTTTGAGGCACTTAACTGTTGCTTAAGTTTATTCCTTGTGAGGAACTTTTGGGTTGTGTAGACTTAGGAGCCCCCTTGTGGACAATGTGGGAAAATGTATCTCTTCGCTGACCATGTCCTTTTAAAGTGTTTTCTGACCTAAAAAATAATTCCTCTTTATTGAGAAAAATGTGGAACCTGCACCTCACTAAAAGTCTTTGGAATGGAAAACAAAAACAAAAAAAATCAGTTCAGCGTACTGTTATACTCTTCGACTGACACCTACCCCCTGGCATGGGTGACAACCATACTGTATGAAATAACTTCAAGCTTTGTTAACAGAGGGAAGGAGAGGGACAGAAAGTACAAGCTTCAACTTTAAACATTTGTTGTATTTTATAAGATCGTTACACTATTGTTCGCCAAATATCAAATCACTGAAGTTAAGTATAAAGTATAAACAAAATATATAAATATGATAGATGCAATGATTGAATACAGTAGAACAAGACATCAGCGGTTACAGTGGACCTCTACCTGATTGTAGTGCATGGTGACGTAAAGTTCATTGTCAAGTTTGAGAGGTAGACTCCAGATGACTCTCCTGAACCACAGGCTGTAGTTGGCATCCACTGGTTCCGCTTCTGTAGCGATGTCCAGGATGTACTCGCGCTTGTTCAGGGGACGCACGTTCTGACCTGTGCAGAACACACTGCAGTATTTATCTCTTTATCTGGAGTGTATTGCTGTTTAGAATAAAGAGTGCAGATCTTCACTGGGGCAAGTCCTTGTTACCTCGGTGTGTGACCAGAAAGACGGCGTATTCATCTAAAGCCTCCACCCTGTGGAGTCCCATCTCATAGCAAAGCTCCTCGATTACATCCAAGGCAACCTGAAATTGATTTACAACAAGCATGCAGCCCTCATGTGAACCCCTGATTCTGTATTTAGGATTGAATAATAGGCTACACTGCTGCATGATACTTTGTTTCATGTCTTTGTGTTTGTGACACTCACAGAGCACGTCTTGATTTTCAGGTGCCTTTCGATTCCACCTGGCAGCAGGAATAGTTGTCTCTTAGAGCTCCGGCCAGCCTGGACAAAAAAAAAAACAGCCAATAAGATAGTGTGAAGTGAGAAGAAAAAGGCTTGAGCGTGGCCAATGAGACACTAACCAGCATTGCTTTAAGCTCCATGCTGTTGGGATGCTGCGTGCGTCCGCCGTATTGAAAAGTCCTTCTCAGATTCTGCTCACATGCCTTGGCAATACCTGTCAGTCAAGAGCAGCAGCAAACTGACACTTGAATCAGCAATAAATATGAATGCTCCAATGATGAGTGTGGTGTTTTAAAGCTTATTGATCTTTTTTTTTTTTTTTTTTTTTACCTTGGTACTGCATCCCGGGGCTCTCGCAGGCGTCCTGCAGGAACTTCAACAGAAACAACTTCATGACGTCTGAGCAGCGATGGAAAGCCGTCAGGATGTACAACAGCCTCCATCCTCTCTGACAACTGTCCCTATACAAGTCATAAACACACTTTCAAATTAAAAGCCTCTCACTGGCTAAATTATCCAGCGGTGACAAATACAGAGGAGTCGTTCTTACGGTTTGGAGCTGGTGTTGGAGGTGACTTGCTTCATCACCTGGCAGTACGCTTCATCCTTTATAAGGCCGTGGTCGCCACTTAACTACAATTATGAGGACATTTAAAAAAAACTCATTAAAATGCTGGACTTTATGTCAGGCTTAACGATAGCCTCATTGGCTCAATATGTGCTTTTCAAGTCTGTGTGTCATTGTTCCTGTACCTTCAGTATAGTGGTTACCAGGTCCTGTTCAGTCTGACCTTTCAGTGCAAAGTCTCCCATGAACTTCATTATAGCTGAAAACCATTGATGTTGACATTTAGACAGTGTGCAGGAGTTTGATTGTAATTTTTGGTTATAACCCCCCCCCCCCCCCCCCCCCCAAGAAATAACTCAATATTTGGTGCCTAGGATTTCTGCTTTTGTCGACTTGGTTTTGAAGCAGGTATCAATATAATTTGATTTGTACTACTATCCTATTGAAGTTTTAAATTCTGGCATCGTGACAGCCCTACTCTCTAGAATCATTTTCTGACTTCTTTCCGTCCTCTCAGCTCACCTATGAAGATGTCAGCAGCGACTCTGTTCATCCCGCTGTCAGAGAAGTCGATAAGAGACTCCTGGATTGGAGACTTGGGACACAAACATGAAACAAAGGAAGACATGGATTTTTGGTGCAAAACACAAAATGCATCGACAAAGAGCCAGGTCAAGCCTTCTTGATGTTTTTCTAGTAATAACTTTTCACTTCAATATACATTTATGAAAAATGTGAATGCAGAAATAAAGTTACTGGTATATCATAACTGCATGATCTATAAAAAAAAGAAAAACTTGCATAGCTTAAATTTCAGTCCAATATGACCTCTGTTTGTTAGAGATTAAACTTTCTGTGACCTGAAACTCTTAAACAAACGTCAAACATAAAATCTGAGAGAACAGGATCTAAAGTCACAAGCCCTCCAGATAAGGGGTTTTCAAAGTCTGAGGAAAGTGGCCTGGAAGAACATGAATACAACTTAGCTCCCCCGGAAACAAAAAAGGTCTTTTACTTTCTGTTTCTACTTTTCTACAATGACCTACACTGAACATTATTTTGAAAATCAAATGTAATACTCTGTCTTTTCTCTCTGTGTAGTTACTAATAATCGATCCATTTTCCCACACATTGCAAAAGTTGGCTAACCATCGCTTATTTTTTTTAGCACTGCATCTTCCCTGAAGTCCTCCCCCCCCCAGGGGAGGCGCCCCTAATACTTTGAAAACCCCTGCTTGACATAAAGCTAAGCTTAGTAAGTGACAACTCAAATGATTTTGAGTCCCAAACAAAAAACCCAATTACATAGATGTTTTAGATGTGCTTTACCTTGGAGAATTTCACCATGTCAGCAGGGTCTCTGCCCTCCTTCCCCTTTTTGGCTTTCTGATCACTGTGGGTAAATGAAACAACGTGGATTCAATGTTCATTTAATCAGCCACAGATTTATTTAAAGTAAGGACATTTTCACACATTGGTTCACATTTTTTAAGCTGCTGTGTGGATGACTGACCTTCTGTTCCTCTGTGCCTCTCTGAAGTACTTCTTGGCAAACTCCACCATGTGGTACTGGCTGCTATGGAGAGGCAGATCGTCCAGTTCGCTGCTCATGCTGTCTCCATAAATCTCATTTACTACCTGATACACACACACACACACACACACACACACACACACACACACACACACACACAGTAATAACAACCTAAGATGCAGTGCCACTTAAAGGAACGCCAAAGATAAAATTATATACAGAATATTTCCATTTCCTCAAACCAAAAAATTCCAACATATGCTGTATAAACAGCATCTGAAACCATAATAAAGGGTTATTATTATTGATGCTGAACTTATTCCCACATTCAGAAAATGTTTTCCTGATGTATAGCGATAGCTGAAAATTATGTTTCTTTGTTCTTAAGTAGCTTCTGAAAACACTGCTTTAATACAAGTCAACGACTTCCTGGTCTGCACCTCCATGGAGAGGTCCAGCTCATGGGCAGCTACTGCTGAGCCCATCGCTACGGCAACAGCAGCCGATGCAGCCACTCGCCCCTGTCTGTCTCGAGGCTCCACGCGCTCCGCGGGGAGGATCAGGAAGTCGGGAGCTGCCACAGGGTGCACATACTCGCTAGGAAAAACTCCTGATTTTCCGTACACAGCCCCAAAACGCCAGCCTAAACGCACACACATACAAACACACCAGAACACACAGTATGTACAGTCACTGAGAGGATACAGGGAAGGGTAACAAACAAAGTGTTGTCTTTTAATGTTTAGTTGTGTCCAAATATCAGAAGAAAAATCCCTGAAAGTCCTTAAATCAAGGACATACAGTTCATTTGAATAATTAAATTATGAACACAGAAGCTGTTCTAGAAAGAACACAGCAAACACATTCAGACACACACAAGCATTGAAGCCCCCTAGAGCGCCGGACCCACCAAACTCTGGAGTGTCTTTCTTTAGCTCCTCCAGTAGCATGACCTTCTTCCTCACTATGCAGCCGTAACGTTTGCCTGAACACAAAGACGGACACACACACAGACACACACACACACACAGACACACACAGACACACACAGACACACAGACACACACACAGACACACAGACACACACACAGACACACAGACACACACACAGACACACAGACACACACACAGACATACACACAGACACACAGACACACACACAGACACACACAGACACACAGACACACACACAGACACACACAGACACACACACAGACACACACAGACACACACACACACACAGACACACACACAGACACACACACAGACACACACACAGACACACACACACACAGACACACACACACACACACACACACACACACACACACACACACACACACACACACACACACACACACACACACACACAGACACACACACACACATACAGCGTGACATGGAGACAAACTGTGCTGTAAGAGACTCACAGAAGCGGACAGCAGGTTGGTGTTTTGAGCGCTTGTTGTGTGTGTGTGTGTGTGTGTGTGTGTGTGTGTGTGTGTGTGTGTGTGTGTGTGTGTGTTGTGTGTGTGTGTGTGTGTGTGTGTGTGTGTGTGTGTGTGTGTGTGTGTGTGTGTGTGTGTGTGCGTGCGTGTGTGTGCGTGTCTGCATCTCACCGGCCTCCAGCCCGTCCATGTGCTGCAGTCTGATGATGTCTCCTTTATGGAAGCTGAGCTGACTCCTGTCCTCAGTGATGTAGTTCCTCACCGCCACCATGTACTCAGAGTCCTGATGGTGACATGATGAGTTGATGATGACGTTCTAAACAATTTCTAGTTGCCATTTTTTGTAAAGCTGAGCAGGCAGAAGAGGGAGAGGATGGACTTTTCTCATATTTAGGTGGTTTGTACACAGGCTAAAGACACATATTAGTGTTAGAAAAACATGGTAAACTGCATTTTGCATAATATGTGACTTTTAAGATGATGGCTTTGTATGATTCAATTTAGCTTTGTCAGCCCAAACAAAACCCACATCAGACAGCTAACACTCAATGCCTTCCAAAATAAATCATCCTCAAGCAAACCTACACCCACACTCTCTCACACACGACCTCTCTGACCTTCTTTATCTCTGTGAGGAAGTGGTCGATCATGTGTTTGACCTGCGGGGCCTTGGCTGAGAACAGGATCAGCTTCTCGTTGGTCAGGTTGAACTCCAGCATGTTTTTAGACGGGATGGACACGAAGAGGATATCTGAATAGCTTCACAGGAAGTGAAATGGGAGGGGGGGGGGGATTTGAACTTTCAATTACAGAGAAAGCACCAAGGCCATTGACACAGAATGTTGAATAAAGGCCAGTAAATCAGCTTTGTTTGATTTTTTGTTTTTTCATTCAGCAGCTCACCTGTAAGGCCTCAGCACTCTGAAATAGTCCGGGGTGGCCGAGCTGCTTCTCACCATCTTCAGCAGCTTGATGCCTTTATGAGACACTGACAGCACCTGCACCCCTGTCCCTACACTGCCCTGGAACACACACACACACACAAAACACACACACAAACGCACACACACAAACAAAAACTACATGAAGCTGTAAAAAGTACATTTTGACCCATGTCAAGGACAGAAGGCTGCTTTTGGTTTATAACGTTTTCCTCATTTTGAAAAACTCACAGATGCCGGGAAGAGGCGGGAGAAGTAAATCTCCCATGAGTCTCTGGCCATGGCGGCGACTTTCTTCTTCACATTCTCATCGTGTGTTCCTGAAACCTGATCCACCTTGTTTTCAGCTGTCAGAAAAACAAGACATAAAGGTGTGCCAATACATTTAAAATAATTTACAGAAATATATGAAGACCTCTGGATCTATGAGCCAGTACTGTGTATGTCAGGGTAAAGTCATTCAGCGATGTGAGTTTTTCATACCAAAGAAAGCTTTCATCTGCTGCCTCTCCTCCAGGGTGATGCGAACGCAGGCCTCGGAGAAGGTGTCGTGTACAACCTGCAGAACAGTAAGTGAGATACAAATATACTAAAAGTGTATTATTTGATTTTTTACATAAAGATCCTTCTAGATTTTGAATTTAAAACTTTTCTGAAATAAATGATCCCTATTTTAATTTAAGCATCATTACCATTAAGATTCAGATATAAAGAATCCTCCAGTCCCCATTACTTTGCTTACTTGGAGACACATCACAAATTCTCCATCCCAAATAACTACAAAAACCCGCTCCTCATTTCTCTAACTATCGCCAAGAAAATCATCTATCAGAACTGGAAATCGAAAAGATACTGCCACATAACTCACTGGACCAATCTACTCACAGAACACATTGTAATAGAAAAGAATCACAGCCTGCAAGAATAACAATATATCAGCCTTTAATAACACCTGGAATCCAATCATAATTCACCTAAATCTCAGAAAAATCATACCTCAAACTGAAATTAAAATTTAAAATGTTCTTCTCTCCTTTAATGTTGACACATATATTTTTTTGTTTTTCTCCCCTCTTTTCTCTTCCTCTCAATTATCTTAAATTTTGTTTGCTATTTATTTTTCTTGCTACTTCCCATTCAGCCACTGCATGTATTATACTGCCACACACACATTCACACGTTTCTTATACACTACTTCAACTTACTACTTGACTTTTATTATATCTACTTCAATTGTATTTGTCTTTGCTAATGTTTGCGTATTTTGATTTTGTTTTGTTTATTTCTGTTTTGCCTGTTTTTGTTTATTTGCCGTCGCTTTAATTGTCATGTCTATGTGCACATTTTTGTTTTGTACTTGTTCACCTTATCACAATAAAAAAAAAAAAAGAAAAAAAAAAGATTCAGATATAAAATGTAAACTGAACGTATGAACTTGAAGTAGAGAAACAAACAAAAACAAACAGACAAAACACCTGTCTGAAGATCAGGTCCAGAATCAGAGGATTGTTAAAGGTCTCTTTTGGATAGAAAACCTGCAATCAGAGCAACAGTGGACAACAATACCTATTATAGCAAAGAATTGCAAATGATGATGGAATCAAACATTTCTGTTTGTGTTTTTTTTTTTGCGTCTTTAGTGAGGACATCACTAACCTCTTTCCTCATGTACAGTTTCCAGGGGACATTGGAGTACGTGTAATATTCATCACTGGTCCGGCTGTGGAGCTGAGTCTGAATGATCTCCTCCTCCACCGGCAACTCTCTGGCCACTGGAAAAACACACAATTTAAAGGAACAAAAGGAAGGGAAGTTGTAGAAGTTAATATTCCTGTGGCTCAGGAACTTTTTGTAATTTTGCTGTTTATTTTTGGAGATTTGTGTAACACTGAAGATCACCTGGAGGAAGAGCGGGGTTTATGTTGGAACTGGCTGGACCCTGAGGGCGAGGCTTGATCGTCTTGGAAACCTTCAGTCCACCCTCTTCTTTACGTTGGAAGGATTGAGGCTTCCTTTGAGTCTGAGGGGAAAACAAAGATCAGATGATGTTTCAGAAGTTGTGTGGATGTGTGCAGATGTGTTTGTGCATGTGGTAGGTGAGAGAGAGAGGTCGAGGGTACCGGTAGAGGTGGGTTTGCCATCTGATCTTTAAGGATTTCCATTGCTTCATCATGCGGGTCTGGCTTCTTTGCAAACATTTTTCCATCAGCCTTCCTGCACACACACACACGCACACACTCAGGTTAGGATCCAGGTTTAAGGTTCTGCACAGAAGCAGACAAACTGTCATTATTATACTTTAAGCGATTCAGACCGACCTCTGTGCAGCAGGTCCAGTATTAGAAGTGGTAGGCCCGGCAGGGTGGTGCTGCTTGATGATATCTTTGATGTCGTGGCTGGGATCAATGCGCTCAGCGTTACTCGCACTGGATTGCACCACGTCTTCCTGACGGGGGCCTCGTGTCGGACCTGGAATGTCACTTTCTATTAAATCAAGTTCAAATGTTCGATGATGTCGTTCAAAAAGCGGCTTTCCATTAATACCTGCATGATTAAAACGCCTTGATAAAAGTGTAAAACATACTTATTTTTCTCTGAACAGCAGCAGGCTTGTACGGCGACTCCTCTCTGTCTTTGGTCTACATGAGAAAACAGGAATACAGCTGAGTGAGGTTTTTTTTTTATCTTGAGACAATCATTTAGATTTGTGGTTACAGGCGTAACTATATGTGTGTTCATTTGTTTGTGTGCGTTTACTCACTGGGCTGGGTGTGTGAGAGTGTGTGTGATGATACTGTGAGGGTGGAGACTGAGGGGCCGGAGCAACAGGGGGGAAGGCGGACAACATCTGCTGCTGGATGGCAATGGCCTGCATGGTCATCTGCTGGGCCTGCAACAAAAACACAAACAATTGTGATTAGAATAGAATATTTTCATGTGGATTTGAATTCTATCTTTAATGTCTTACATCACCCCTTCAGAATGTCTAACATCGTCACCACCGACATTGATCCATCGCGAGGAATTAAAACTGGCTTAATGTTAATTCTTTACTTCATGTGACTACTGTTTATGTGTATAGCAGGCACATTCGTTGAAGAACATTCAGACACAAACACAGTGAAATAACTGCTATTTAGCTTGTAGGTCCTGTGCATCAGATGGTAGGGATACAAAATTCAAGAAAGCGTATTACTAGACTCAAAATTAAGAAAACACATGACAAACTTAATTATCATGAATTAAATCTACAAAACTTTGTTTTGTCATAGTTAGAACCAAACTGGTATATATGTGACAATCAGCAAAACAACAATAAAGTGAATTTAATTTCATGTGAACTTAAGGTTCAAAAGTGGCTGTGCAGCTACTAATTGACCAGTAAATCGACCATGGCCAGTAACCTTTTATTTTTATGTACTACAAATATATCCCAAAAGCATTATCAGAGTTAAGCTATGTGACAAACCAGAATGATAGCTTGCTGGTTGATGATGGCCTGTTGCTGTTGAGTCAGAACTGTCTGCTCGGTTCCTAGAAAAGACAAACAAAGGCACGATGTTTTAGAAAGGATTTTTGATCTAGAAAATAAAGAAGTAAAAGCATGCGCAGTATATAGCAAACGCCTCCGCATTAAAAAAAAACCACACAGAGGGAACCTCAAAACAAAATGCACACTGTAGAAAGGTTTTGCTTAGTTTGCCTAGATATTGCAAAAATTCAATTCATTGTTACTCCTTCACGCCTGCTGGCTTCAGGCCAAACATGCGGGAAAACTTTACACACACCCCATTGACCATACTTCACAAGCAGCCATATTCTCTGTCAATAAACTGAAGGTGGGAAGTTCAAATGTCATGTTGTGTTTCAGTTACAAGTAATAAAAGTGACAGGAATGTTAGGATCGTCACCATTTCCCTGTTTCCTGATTGATCAGTATCCAAAAAGCAATGGACTTTGAAAATCCAGTAGACATCAGGCCATATTTGATTTAGCCCACTACCATTAGTGCCTCTAGCTAATTTGATTGGCAGCTGGGAAGGGGCTAAATCCTAACTTTACCATTTGTAGTGTTATCAAAGCGACAGGAAAAGCTAGAATTATGTTAGATGGTGTTTGACTGAAAACATTGGCAAAACAAAACAACTACTAACCTTACCATTTAATAGAGTTATACCACACAACGGCAAAAGCCAAAATATGGCATTCAGTCATCTCCTAGTAAACACTGTGGTTAGCTAGGAGGTGGCTGAATCCTACCATTAGCTCCTATCTAATGGTAGCTAGTAAGTCATCAAATCTACTGTTCAAATTTAGCCTGACGTTCAGATTTTCCCACCATTAGCATGACTTCAGGGAAAAATGGCCACTATGTGACTATGGTTAAATGTTGTACCTGTCACCACAGGCAAGCCTTGTACCACAGGTGCGGCAGGGAGGGAGGGGCCAACTGGCATACTGGGGACATTGGTGACATGGGAAGCAATGCTAGCATCTCTATCAGTAGCACGGGCATGTATGGGTAATGGAGTTACAGCCACAGCAGGTGTGCTTGAAGAATTCTGTTGCTGGTAGGGTTGTTGGGGGAGGTTGTATTGGTGGTATTGTTGTTGTTGTTGTTGTTGAGGTTGCTGCTGTTGCTGTTGCTGTTCATGGTGATGGTGATGGGATGGGATTGGCATGGTTGGAATCGGTGGCATCATTCCCCCTGCTACAGGAAGCACTGGCACAGCTTTAAGGACCAACACGTAGGGAACATGATAACAGTTAGGGACAAGGAAGCTAACCGGACTTACCGGAACTTGGTATAGTCATACTTGGTGGGCAAAACAATTAATCACATTGAAGGTTAGAAAATCTTCAACAATCATGAAGAATTACAACTATTGTCACGATTGCCATCAGAAAGCACTTTTTAAATTATTCCTTTGCAGCCATGCTTGCAACAGGGCTCTACAGACGGCACTGTCAGTCTGTCTGTTGGTCCATCGTCAACCACTTTGGTCCAGACCAATATTGAGAAGTTCAATACAATGCACTACATGATATCCAGATACAGGATAGAGAAAGACATTGAAAAGGCTAGACAAATTCAATTGCAAAATGACTTCTAGAATCTCACAGATATGGGAAATATATACAAAAGTAGCATAAAGGAAGTATAGCAATGACTAAACAGACAGAAAAGCTAGCATGAGTGGGTTTGTTGTGTGTGTAGCAGGCGGGAGAATGAGAGTGACAGCTCCCTATAGAGAGTAAAAGAGTCATCTGTGGTTACAGTGACTGACCCTCTTTGCATTATAGATGAGCTTTGACTGCTCATTACAGCCTCTAAGCGACACATTAACGTAGGTGAACTGTACACCTGAACCTTTACACTGTTCAGTGTTATCGAGACACTTTAGTCTTTCCTCTTGGACTAAAGGCATCAATTATTTGTGTTTTTCTACGTCTGTATTTTGACTTTTTTGCCTGTTTTTGCTTATTCCCAAAAATATTTATTTTACTATGGACCAAATATCAAAAGTGGTAAAGGATGGTTTGAAACAGAGTATCCTAAAACTTTTGGCAAAGCTTCGAGGACTTGAAAAAGCTTTTAAGGAAGAAAAGAGGTCAAACATATTCATTCACCTTGGTCTACAGCCGAGGATTTAGAACCAAACTTGAATTATTTATGTCTATCAAAGTTGTGAGAGAGAGGTTAAGAATAGCCCAAAAATGGAGAAAAGATGATAGTCTGTAATAATCTTGAGCGGATCACAGAGGACAGACACAAAAACAACAACGGAAAATCAGAAAAGATACGCACATCTGTCAGTGGATGATGGATCCAAAAACACAAATAGGTAAAGAAAAGCAAACAAGATATGCACATTAAGAAGCTCCCGTTTGAAGGTTTTTTTTTGATAAGTGACATTTCGAGCCAACATTCTTTTCCTCAGAAATCCTTCAAACGGGAGCTAATTGGAGTGCAGATCTTGTTTGCTTTTCTTTACAAAAACAACAACTAAAATATGTTTCTTATGAAAAAACAATGAAATAAAAACTGCTAACTCTAACGTATTACCTCCGGGATGTATTCCAGGTGGATAAGGCCGGCTGTGAGTTGTCTGACTCCCGCCCTCTCCTCCTCCTCCTGTAATGCCTACACCTCCTCCTCCCTTCATCCTCGCTGACAGGCTTCCAGTTTTTTCCATGTCCTAGCAGCCACGGGGAAGCAGGGCACAGAGATTCAATGGATGGAAAAGGCCGATTGTAGATGAGTTTGAGAAACATGAAGAGTCGGATAAGAAGTTTGGATGCAATGGCTGATTCAGACCCTCTGTGAGTGAGTCAGAGGAGGTGTAGGAACTGAATACTCTGCAGGGAGTACCATAAAGACTGGAGAGTAAGCTACAGCGCACACTTCATATACACTGTAATGAACACTGAAAATAGTTTGCAACAAACAATAGTTCGACATACATGAACTTTAACATCAAGATAAAATCCAAATTAGATGGTTTGTTGATACTGCTGCTGGCTCTTTCTCCCGATGAATTTTTGACTTTTGCCGTGAATACACATAATGCGAAGTTGTTAACAGGATGATCCAGTGCATCTAAGCAAGTGAGCTGCCTGCTGCTACTGTCAAATACGGTAGGCCGCTCAGTAACCTAATCATGCCTCCTGTCGACTCCATTCATACTCTTAACACAAGCAGAGGATCACATGTTCCACCCGTCCATCAACACTCCCTTCCCTTTACCGTCACACTGCAGATCAGTAGTATGAAGCATGATGAGGTGAGGTTTAGATGCATTTTTCTATCTATTGAGCAACTTCTAAAGTAAAACGAAATTGATTTAAAAAAAAAAAAAGAAGGTACTTCAACTATTTCCAGAGCAAAACAATGTCTCCTATCTGCTTGGGTATTAGTTACACCGCTGCCCTGAAACAATATCTCATGTCAACGGTAAGTTAAAGACCTTTGTTTTTCACTTAATGATTTTTCAGCTTATCCAACGAGGGCTTTGAATTTCTCTTTTAGCTAAGACGCCCTTTGAGAAGCTTTCATGTATTGCTGATTTTGGCGCGCCCTGTGGACAAAGTTGTACGCTTTGTATGTAGTGTCTTTTTTGTTTTTCTTGTTTTGTTTTTTTGTTTTTTACAAAAAAATACTCTGTTTTCTTTTATCAGGAGAAAGGTTTCCTATATCAAGTATCTTTGCTACCAGAGCTTGTGAATTTGACTAATGTACAGAGGAGGAAGAAGAAGTGAAATTATACAGTATAAATGATAGAGCTGGTGTTTCTTGTAGATCAGTGTGAGTACTCACTATGCTGCTGTCTGACAACACAGGGTCAAACAGACTGTCCAGGTAGCGGTCCATCCCTCGCTGAGTCTGACTGTCACTGAATGCATCTGACTCGACTGGACAAACGAGAGGCAGAGCAGATTTAAACATGGCTGTTTAACTTTATGTATTTTTTTTAAATCACAATACAGAACTATGTGACTTAAACAAGCAGATGTGGTGGAAAATGGATGGATGGATAAACAAGTTTTTTTTCCCTTTCTGAAGCAGAATAAATCTAGCAAAGGGTGCACCAAAACCAGACTTGCACCTTACAATTAACACTCTGCATGGTTTAAAATGGGCCAACAAACGTGTTACTTATATTTTCTTGTTAAGATGTGTATGTAGTAAAGTTAAGGACATATTTGTGCGTTTGTACCGTGACTGAAGTAACCGTCTGAATCGGGCAGACTGTAGGCTGGTCTGCTGCTGAGAGGAAGCTCCTCATCAGAGTCAAAGCCACTGCCAAACAGAGCACTGAGAGGGAGGAGAGAGAAAAACAGACATTTAATCGGACCTAAACGTCATTAATTTTGTGCATTATCATCATTTCAAATGTTGGCTTTACTAACAGGCTGGCGTTGGCTCGGACTCTGGCAGGGTCGTCGGAGCTGATGATGAAGTAGCTCTTCTGCTTTGGGAAGTCAGGAGGAAGCTCCAAGTCTGCGATCAGGTCCATCACATAGTCGTGACCAGCTAACTCCACCCACTGGCCGTGCTCCTTCATCAGAACTGAACTACCCCTCCACCAGTCCGACACTCCCCTAGAAACAAGAACCCACCTGTACCTGTCAGTGCTGCACTCAAAGCATCACTGTACACTGTAAGGAGTATGTGTTTCATTTAATATGAGTTACAAATGCTAAACACAATGAGCTAAACTTTTGCATCTTGCACTTAAATCTTAGATAAGAGCACCTGTGGCGCAGTATGTTGCCTGCTAAATCCTCTCCACTGGTCCAGGAGTGAACAGGACACAGAAATGATCCGCCTACACAGACAGAGATGGGTGGATGAAAAACAAAAATCAATACTTTATATCATCAGCTGTCTCTTCTAATCAGGGTTTATGAATCACATCACTCATTTTACAGATAATAATAATGATACCCTGATCCTTATTGTCAATAAATAATCAGTAATCAAGGCCTGGATGTAGAGCCAGTGACATCACCCATTGGTTTCTTAACAGGCGTTATAAAGCCCAACGATTGCAGATGCCATGTTGGAAATGCTGACTCAGGCATAGAGGTAGAGTTTAGGCGAACAACATGCCTATCTAGTTAGTCAGCTAGCTGGCATATTCTGATGTTAAAAAAAACACGCACACAAAGCTGATAGTTAAAGGTCTGTAACAGGATTATGCTAAAATGAATGCCAGCCTCCTGGCTAACTACAACAAGCTCTTCTACTAGACAAATCATCCATGGCCCTAATTCAGCCTAACTATGCATAATTCTTAGCTTTCAATATGGTTGAAATCAAAAATTGCTGAAATTTTGAGCAATCAAAATGGTTAAATTGTAAAAAAACAACAACCCCATTGAGTCTTTACCAATAAATAAATGAACTATAGGGGATCAAAGCAGTTTTGTACCATCCAACATGTTTTTTTTCTGCTGTAAAAATGGACATTTTAATAGTGGCTCTATTGAGGATTGCTTGGTTTTCGGCCAACCCCAAGTGGTCACTCGAAGAACTGCAGATTTTGGCTTGGTCTAACACCGTTGGTAATTAAATCTCACCATCAAAACAGTGCACCTGCAACACCATGTTAGCCTTCTTTCTATTGGCCGTCCACTCCAGCAATGACAGAGGGTAGGTCCGAGCAGACTCTGGGGCGGCGCTTGAGCTGAGCTGTATCTTCTGATTGGCTTGGATGAGTCTATGTTGCAGCAGTGCCTGGCAACCAGCAGGGGCGTGGTCCGACACAAACCTAGACAGCAAAAGACGACTGTGGTTATGGAATTGGAATTTTTACACAAATGTATTTTTGAAGTAATGAAGCCATAAATAAGATGCAATTTTTTTTTAATTGCAAGGCTTCATTTAGGCCACCTGCCATTTTTAAAAGCCATTTTAAGACAGGTTTTCCACAAATTAAAAGTGATTAGTTTATTTATGTTGGCTGAAACCAGATGTCATATTAAACCCAAGCTCTATATCATTTTTTAAATTGTTTTTCATGTAAAAGGTTTGTTTTCCCATCAGTAGGATTCTAATATGTATCGAACACAATGTCTTACTTCAGCAGATATTTGTCCATCTTGGGAGACGGGGAGAAGCTGCAGACGCACGCCAGCAACAGCAGCCAGCCTCTCTCAGCATTTTCAGAGTTCATGTTCCTCCACACCTGGTTGACCACCTGAGACAGGATCTCGTCCCGTAACCCTGGCGACGACAGGCCCCTTTGGATGATGTAATTCCCAAACATGTTCTCCTGTGCCCCGTTCAGGTGAGGGTCCCCCATGAAGCGCAAAACCTGTAATAAAATAAAGGCAAAAATAAAACCTCAGACAACATCTGAGAGACTCTAAACATGTTTCATATTGTTGAAACATCCTCGAAGTTAAACTGGATTTGTTTTTTCTGGAAATAATTTGAATGCTTAACACTCATCTTGTCTTGAAAAAAAAGATTTCTAATACATCAGGAGAAAAAAAGACAATGATCAGAATAAGAAACACTGTGACTCAAATACAGAGACTGGATAATTAATGTGAGCGGCGTTTTCCAGATCAATGACTAAATGTAGTTTCTTTTATTTTAAAGTCTTCCTGCCATGTTGAAGAGCTCCAGAGCTTCCCCCCTCAGGTCCTCTTCTACACGGGTCAGAGGCGTTTCTAAAGGTGCCATCAACATTCCCAACTTTGGCTCCTACACAAACAAACAAACAAACAAACAAACAAACAAGAATTACAGCGATGAAGGAACTTGGGAAGCACATGTTGTGTTTTCAGTACATTTTTAAAAAGATAAAATGACAAGGGCTTGTTGTCATCACTTTTGGCCTGACATCCTCACCACTACTTCTTCTGCAGCTTTTTTTTTTACTTTCACCCGATATAACAGCCTTGAACCCTGACTGGTTAATTTATGAAATACTGTAGTCAGTGTATTAATTGAGCAATAATAGATTAATTCCTTGTCTTGACTGCTAATGTTTTTATTTATGTCCTCACTCTGGCAACATAAAATGGATTTGAATCATTTATCAGCTGTACATGTCACTTTTTCACTAATACTTAATTGAACTGAACATATCAGACAAATTGGTATACTTCAATAAAACGGAAGGTGACAGATACATTTTACATGTTAAAGAATAAATAGTTAGGATATGTTTCCAAAATAACATATATTAAATCCTTATTGTGTAGTTAAAAAATCATAAATCTGTGATTAGGGGCATCATCAGGTTTAAACTGCAGTTTTAAAGAATATTTACTCCAATAGACGATTCAGATGATCTGAGCTGACAGCGAAACTGTAAACAAAAGTGATGCCCATCTCACCCTGAAGTGGATCTGAACGTAGCGGTAGAAAAGGTAGTTGTTGATGTCCAGAGGCAGAGTGAGCTGAGCCTCCTCTTGGATGTGAGGAGCTTGGAGCAGAGCCAAACAGTCTGAGTGTAACTCCCTCCTGACTAAAGAAGGAGACGAGGGAAAAGTCAAGCAGCAAACATATTCTCCTTAAAAGTTTGTTTGTGTTAATGGTTTATTAATGTGCTGATGATTTCACTCCCTGTCCTGGAGCTGACACGGTCATTGCTGATAAGGTGAGACACTGAGACAAAGTTCAACTGTTTGGTTCATCGATAATATGTGTAGACTTAAGATTGTTATTTACAGACCTCCTGCTGTCTGCAGTAATGCTCCCAGCTCAGCGGGAATCACCAAGTGTGTGACGTTCACAACCTCCCGCCTGGTCAGCTCCTGAAACAGTTATTTCTTTCTTGTCATTATCAGATTGACAGTGCCCTGGGAGGACTTTCAAAGGACAAAGCTTAGGTATGCAGATTTGGATGCAGAAGCTAAACGGAGAGGATGGAAAGTTAGGGTTTGTCCAGTAGAGGTGGGCTGTAGGAGGTTCATAGCAAATCCACTCTCAGTACTGGGAGCCCTGGGAGTGCGTGGACAGAGTTTGAGCAACAACAAAGAGCAACAACAATTCAAATGTGCAAATTGGTTCGCAGATGAAGTGCAGAGTCGAGATCACAGATTACAATTCAGAAACACAGGCCCTGTCCAATTGTCTCGCCTTCTTTTGTCTTTTAAGATCGAGCCCAAAGGCTTCAAGCTGCTAAGTGACAACAAGTTGATTGGTACGTTTTTTGTTGTTGTTGTAGAAAGCCCGCCCAAACCACAATCTTACCATTTCTCTCCTCTTCCTCTCCTCTTCAGCTTTCCTCTGGGCCTCAAACTTCATCTGCAGACAGACCAAAGAAATCAAACACTGAACAGATTTAACTTCAGCTCAGAGCTGAAAGATGACAAAGAACTAAACTGGACAACAAGTGTGTCATTTCTTTACAGTCATGTACTGTATGTGAGCAAGAAAGGTTCCAATATCTAGATGTAAGGAAAGATGTTTTTGTCCTTCTCATTTATGGGCAGCAGACATCAGGTAGGCCCTACCTTGATGTATCGCCTGCGGTTGACATACATGTGGACCAGAGAGCGGAATCGAACCAGACTCTCCCTCATTTTTACATAGCGCCTCCTGGAGGGTAAAAGGAGAAATCAGAAAAACATGAAATAAAAAAAAAAAAAAAAAGCTCTGTACCAAATGTCTTGATGCAACATTCTTTTGTAACATTGTAGGTTTTTTTTTTTATAAGCGACATATGGTGCAGTAGATTCCTAAATGTTTTCCAATGAACTGTTTAATAGGTAACAGGCATCAAACGTTACAATGAAAAAGTTTCCCTCAAACTCTATGTATAGTTCTTAGTTGCTTTACAATAACAACCTTAACATGCACAGTATAGTTTAATGGAAATGCAACCTGAGCCATATCTGGATTAGGTTGACTTCCATTGTGACCAAATTGAAGGTATGTTTTTTAAGGGAGTTTACAATTTAGCATTCTATTCTTTTTAAACTCAACTTCTATATCAGTCTGTCTGTCAGTATTTATCTGTTTTTACTGCCATATGATGGGAAAACTATAAAAGTGTGCAGACTTTTTTTTAACTTTAAGAAGCTCAATTTATTCAAAACCAATCTCTTTAGTGACAGTTATGAAACCAGCAGCAGCAGCAGCAGAGACCTTGCGAGGAAGCCTCGGCACTGCGCCTGCAGACGGATGATCCTGTTGCGGAAGGCCGTAAAGCGTCTTCGGACGAAGAACATGCGAATGTACCGCTGCAGGGTGAGGGCAGCGAGTTGACGGGTGCGCTCACGTTTGCACTCCAACAACTGGTAGATGTCCTCCTTTAGAAACAGCTGCCGTTCACACATGAATACGTCATTTTAAAAAAGGGAACTCCTTTAAAACTGTACAACACATTTGTAAAAGGGTACGCATCAAAAAATACATTTTAAAAAAAAAAAAGAAGAGGAGGAGGAGCGCACCTTTGTGACTCCAACATGGAAGGCTCCTGGTCTCAGAGGACACAGCTTACTGAGCATTATCACACAGTTCTCTCCATTCGCCGCTGGAGGCTCTCGTAACCCCACCAGGGATTTATACCTGGGATGACACAAATTCACATGCATGTTTACAAGCTCACAACAGACTCTGATAGTCTCTCATATTCACCTTTTGAATAATACTCAAAATCAGTTTTGGTCTCAAGATTGGTCTCGAGACTTATTTTTTAAGATCTCCGTCTCGTCTGGATTTTAAATCAAGACCACCACTGACAGGCTATTTTTCCCACCTCATTACTTTCATTCAAAGAAAAATGCCCGTTTGTAAAAGAACAATTCACTTTAATATACAGATTTTTTTCCCAGTATTGGCAGCAACCTTCCTGGTGTTATGGTGTGTGAAATGCGCGATGCACACAGGATGATGATTTTTCCGTGATATTTATGGTCTCGGTCTCAGAGCACTCTGGCCTCGGGTATGTCTTGGTCTCAGTTAGTGTGGTCTTGACTAAAACACTAGGATGAACATTTATTCTCCGAGGATAATCCCAGAGCTGCTGTATGTATGCTGGCTGCTGGTAAATGAACCCTACAGTAAACACTGCTGGTGTTACCTGAACAGGAAAACGTAGAATGGCATTCTGACAGGGTATCCCTCCCTACGGATCCTGATGGTCTCTAGGATCCCTGAGTGTCTCAGCTGGTTGCTGACCAGCTCGCCCTCAAACACTCCTGGTAGCTGAATGCAGATGGACATTTACATGTCATAACCAACTGTAAAACCAGACTTAATTGCCAAAATGCAGAATGTTTAATAATTCACCTTCATGTTATTTGGCTTAATACAGCGCACAAAAAAGGGGTTGCACCTGAAATGGAAAGATCGAAGCAGTGATGTCAATAACAAGCTGTTTTTAATCTCTAACACAGGAAATGTTTTATCAGTAATAAATGCATAATTCTACACTTCCCTCAGTTTTACCTCTCCATCTTCTCCACCAGCTCCAGCAGAGACTGTTGGAACTTGTTGCTGACGGTGGGCGCTTGGTATTTTCTTGTGACCGTGCTGCTCTTTCTCATGTGACCACCTCTCTGCTGACCTATGACCTCTGCTTGGACCAGGAAGAGATTTGACACCATCTAGAGACATTCAAACACATACATACACCCACATTACTTACTAATTTTATTATTATTATTATTTTTAATAATCACATGTATTTTCTGATTGTGTAATTGTGTGAAGATATTCCTCTTTTCTCACGAGAGGTGCGCTGATCGACAGGTGAACAGTATTTGGTGCCGGTTCTATTAAAATGTATCAGATTCTGTGCTGGTCACACACACCAACCATTCACAGCCACACACCTAATCTAACATGTTGGCTTTGTGGACGGTTTCCTTGCACATGCGGGAAAGTACCTCTACCAGCTTTTGATTTGCATCTGCGCTGATCAAACTTATATGTGCACACACTCTCATATGTCTCCCCAAGGCTGGGGGAGCGCATTATGTTATTCCTTCCGCTGTTATATTCCTTGGGTATGGTGGGACACATTATAGTAAAACCGCACCATGTTTGACTGCCTGTGAAGCGTATTATTTTGCAGCTGCAGCTTTGAAGATGTATTTTAATAAACAGTAAGTTCAATTAACAGTCAGTGTTTTGTTATGAACATGAAATTGAGTTTCCATTAAAGAAGAAAAGTTACAAAAATGTTTGTTTGTGCAGTCAGTTATTGTTCTTTAAAGAAAGAAAATCAGCAAAAACCAGAATTGACAGGTCCGACTTTGAAAAGGAATAAATCAAAAGTTGGACAAAGAATATGTAATGTGTGTATCTCTACCCCTCACCTTGTTCTTGCTCTGCACAAACAGGTCCAGGACATCCTGGCGCACTTGGTCATAGTTCTTGTCCAGGAACTTGTAAACCTGCATTAGAGACATTGCAAATCTGCATTTTCTCAATTCATTGGCTCAGTTCAGGGATCACATGCCGTTTCCTGTGGTGCTACAATGAAGTTGAAACTGGTGTTTTTGATTTGAGAAAAGTACCAGAAACAATTTGTATGCATTGACAATAAATGTAGCTTTCCACTTAAAATACTGTTGTGCAAATTGTAGATGATGGAAGAATATCAAATACATTATCTTACAAACTAACAGACTAATAGTAAAATGTGTGTTTCTTCATTGTGTACCTGGTAGGTTACTCGGCCAGCAAAGTGCTTGATGGCGAACTCTGGAATGGGCATCTTTGGCTTCTGATACAGGGGGTTGTTGCCATGGTGATAGTGACACTTTTGGAGGAAAGTGTGGTCTGTCGCCTGGCAACAAAGCAGAAAACTCAAAGTGACACGTACAAATATTTGCTCTGTGGGTTTGGGCTTATCTTACTCCTGCCTCACCTGTGGGAAACAGCTCTGATCATCCAGAATCCTCAGTATCCCATGAGGCTTTGCAGCAATGAGGTCAATGCAGGGCTGGTTGTCACTGAATGGGATGTCCTGCCAGGGGATCTGTTCCCTGCTGTACTCCTCCTGAATGGGGATCACACGCAATACAATTTCTTATAAATACACAAAGTTCACATGTCTTTCCGTCAATGAACTGTCGATTAGTTAAAGGAGCAATATGTGACTCTGACACCTAGCCTCATGAGGTGTAACATACCTGTTCCTCCCTGAAAACGATCTTGTTGAAGAAGAACTGAAGATACTCGTTGGCATAATTAATGCAAAGCTGCTCAAAGCTGTTGAAGGCCAGATCCTAACATACACACACACACACACATGTATAAAAACAATGTATATATATACACACAGTTGGTGATTTTTTAAGTCTCATCTACATGTCTAAAGTGTAATTAACCTTTGACAAGCTGGTGAAAAGATGCTCTGTTGCTGTCATCATCTGTGGAGGTGGATTAACACACAGAGAAAAAAAACATGTTTACCTCAAATCCATAAATGTCCAGGATGGAGATGGAGACGGTGTGTTGGCGGGGGTACACCTGAGCGTTGATCCTCTCTGTTAACCAGTGGAAGAGCAGCGAATAAAGGATCTTGGCAACAGCATCTCTTAGGCACATTAGGAAAAGTGAAGAAACAATGGAAGAAAAAAAATGAGCACACACTTGAACATCTACAACAGTAAAAAAAAAAAATGCTCCATGCACAATAAAGAAGTTGGAACATAAATGTAAAAACAGCAGAAACAATAAGGGCTGTTCAGCAAAAAAAATAATCTAAGGAGTTAAAAGCTTTATGATCAATATTTTTGTGTGAAGCATGAGGTTGGATTAATAAGTAATACTTATAATTTAGTCCTCCAGTAATACATAAACTTCAGTGAAGTATCTGATTACTTGGTCCACAGTTGCAACATAATCAGTACTTTAATGGTATTCCATTTCAAACTTGCATGTTGGGTACACCTTCCCTCACCTGGCATCAACTGCACTTTCCACAGTCAGTGGTGTGTAGATTTTGTCCCTCATCGTCTCCTGTAGAGAACACAGAACAGTTTAAATGCACAGTTATAGAGGGGAGCCCCTAACTCTGACCCACTTTGATACTGACTGTGACTTTGTAGGTGATGGCTTTCTGCAGTCCTTCTGGGGAGATCTGCAGCAGCTCTGCCACCACCCTGATCTCCTGAGCGCTCACCACTGACGCCACCTCCTGGCCATCAGCCTGTGGTGCAACACAGAGACATGAGGAGCGAAACATCTGAATGAGCTTCCAAATCTGCACAGCGTCTCATATCACAGTGCCCTGTTCTGTTTGCTCTCTTAATGTTGTGTGTCATTATGCTAAAAATTCATTGATTTAAAAAAAATTTAATCAGGCAAAAAATGTCGATAGATGCGTTACTGTGACATCCAAAGAATACAGGATTGTCTCCAAATAAGCAGCATGATAAACAAAAAAATCACAAATTTTTTTGATATAAGCTTAAAGTCACTACCTCATATCTCTGAAAGTAGACATTGCCCAGGTGTAGTATGGAAGAAAGAACTCTAAAGATGGCTGACTGGTCTTCAGGGGTGAAGTGAAGGATCTCCATGGCAGCACGCAGACGCAGGAAATCCTCTGCATCGTTTTTCCCTGTTATCCCACAATCTCCTCCCTGAGTGGAGGGAAAAAGAAAAAGCATGATACCTCAGAGTGATCCACATGTAGACATGAGAATGATGATTGTGCTGCTCTTTGTCTCCTACCTGGTTGAGGTAATAGTAGGTCTCAGCTTCCTGCAGGTAGAAAGCCTGCCTCTGCTGTGCGGGAAGACCCGCCAACATCTCGTAGAAGATGTGATAGTTCCTCTCGTCTTTGGCCTGAATGGGCAGCCAAAAATGAAATCACTTTCAGATACAGAGGAGGATACGATGAAAGAGTTATCTCGTGTGTGTGTGTGTGTTGCATGAGCGTCACCTGGAAGACAATCCGTGACTTTTCCAGCAGATACTGAGAGGTTATGGCACCACTGATCACACCACTGGACAAAGACAGAAGCAGCTGTGAGTGGAATTATACACAAAGACTATAATTATATGTATAAAGCACATTTTATTACATAATGAGAAATGACTAAACAATAAAGTATGAACACAGCAAACAGAAGAGGTGAAATATAAATAAAAAAAGCCTTGAATTGATACAAAATTACTAAAAATCCCTTCTGGGGAGTGTTAATGGGGCGATGAGGTCACAGTTTATGGAAGTTTTGTGCATTTATTATTCATACTTACTCCTCCAGATAGACCTCTATGTATTTCCCAAAGCGACTGGAATTGTCATTCCGAACTGTTTTGGCATTTCCAAAAGATTCCAGCAGGGGAGCTGCCTCAAGTATCTATTGAGCATCCAAGCACACAGTAATTGTTATTATTGCTAGAACCCGACCGATTAATCGGCCGGCTGATAATATCGGCTATATTAGCTTATCCAGTGACTATCGGTATAGGCTAATTTTATCACAGATATACGTCAATATCACTAGATTCACCCGTCAAATAGCATTTCATTCGAGTTCGAGTGGATCACACTAGCGGTTCTCTTTCACCAGCAGAGTGTGCTGTAAGGATTACAACAAGCACTCTCAGTGTCAAGCTGTGATGAACATACATTCACAGTTATTTTCCAGTTGAGTGACCATCTTGTCATTTCTATCTTTTCCACAAGTGTTGGGGAACTGCATTTGAGGGATCAACGCAATAAATAAATCTATATCTTTCTCTATTCATCTATCTCCACAGATCGAACATACATCCAAGAAAGAGCTGGCCGATATATTGGTATCGTTTTTTTTTGTCTCCCGAATATCGATATCCGTATCTGGCCCCAAAAATCCCATATCGGTCGTACCTTAATTATTGAAAACATCCTTTAACATGTTGACAGCAATGGATATTTTAAAAAAAACATGCTTCTTAGTTTTCAAAACACCAAGCACAAAATATTCAATGCACACTTCAGATTATAAATGAGTTCAATTAAATCCTGAGCTATGAGGTGAAGTCCAAAAGACAATGCCACATATCTAATCAAATACTGTCACACAACACAGCAAAACACAGCACCCTGCTCATTTTCATGGCCACAAGTCATGCAGGAAACCCCACTACCTCAATCTGCACCAGAGAAAGCCAGCAGACACGCAAAGAAATGGAAAAAAAGACGCACAAGAGCATTAGTAAACTTTTAGGAAAGGAACACAAGTGTCTGAGTGTGTAGATGGTTATGTGTACCTGCTGTGAAATATTGCTTGTGTGGTGGATTGCTGCTAAGTAGCGAAGGACTAGTTTGGTGGCCTCTGTTTTTCCTGATCCGCTCTCCCCACTGAAACACAGAGAAACACAATCAATGACAGAACCTTATATAACTTGTTTATTATATTTTGTAGTATAAGGCAGGATGTACTCAAAGCTTAAACAGAAAATCCTCTTTCTTGCAAGCAAAGTGGAAGGTCACTAAAACCCAAGGACTGAACTTTATCGCCCTTTGAGCACCTTACACAGTACACACAGGTTTTTTTTTAATTACTTAGATTATCACAGGGAGGAAAGGGAGCACCTCCATTATTTGATCCTTCTCACCTTCCTCCTGGAGCTTGTGGAGTGTTTTCACTTAATTGACTAAGTGATTTAAGAGTAGTAAGGGTTCAGTTCTCGTACCACACACACTGTGCTTCAGCACTGCCAATATTCAGTGCTGAATACCCCCACTATCCAAGCATGTCCAAAGAGGGGCAAAGGCAGTGTGTGTGTGTGTGTGTGTGTGTGTGTGTGTGTGTGTGTGCGTGTGTCTGTTGTGTTAATAAGGGGCAGCAGCACTTTGACCAAATTCCAGCCTAAAACCTAACCATTACTGGTCACAATACACCAGAACTGAATAACCTCCGTTTACATGCACTCAATGACTCACGCACCATGTGCACTTAAACACACACACACACACACACACACACACACACACACACACACACACACACACACACACACACCAACACACACCTCTGAAACAGAATCTGCTTCTGGCCCAGACCTGGCTGGGCTTTCCTTTCAGGTGTCTCCTTCCAAATATGGCCTGAGTGGTCCAAGTGTGTGGGAGTGCGTGCATGTGTGGGAGCTTTTTTATGTATTTGATTTGTTTTATGCATACATACCCTCATAATGACGCATGCTCTATGTTCTGTTTAAAATTTTACGAGAGAGTTTAATGTTTCTTTCTTTCGACACAAATACAAATTCAATCTGAAGTGCGAAATAAAATTGTGCACAAGAACCAGATTTACTGAATTAAGTGTTGATAGTGACAGTTTGTTACAATGTATGTCAAGAGAAGCTTTTCTTTTAAATCCTGCTGTGGATATGAGATTTAAATCTGCTTTTCTCTGTGTGTTCTTCAGGAGATCAGTTTTGACCGAGTGAGGTGCTTGTGACAAATAGATGAAGCAAGAGGAGTGAAGGATGGCCCTGTCTCAAGAAAACCACAGACAGACAGACACTCATGAATTTACAAACACTAATGGTACTGGAATTGGAAACCTGACTGTCCAAGAAGCTTCATGGACACTGTGTTCACCAAGGTCAAACTCTTATAAAACGTTGGAACATTACAAATGATATGGAATGATCTTGCTGTACAATGCAAGTTTTAAAAAAAGTAGGTACACAGTATCAATAGAAACATGGTTATAAGTTATGGTTTAAAGGCTAGTTGAAACTCAGTTTTACAACTTGATCTTTCCTTTTGTGTTTCAACAAATAATTTGAGGGTTCTAGTCTTTATTTTACATGTTTTCATTTTCTCGTTACCAACAGTTTAACACAACTTACGGAGGGTTCTCTCCCAGTGCACGACCCTTGTACAGCAGCACCATGTCCGTCCCGTATGATGTTGTACATCTTATAAGGGTTCACGGACACCAAAATGCTACCTATGTATGTCTGAAATATTAAATTAAGTAAAAAAAAAAGATGATGAGAAGAACATCAGACAAACATAAAAATATTGATCCACTGCAAAATACCTCAGAATAAACTGATTTGTCAAGAACAATAATATGCTTCAAGATATTTTCAGTGGTATTGTGGTCGTGTGCAGTGTTTGTATGGGATCGCTGTTCAGATATTTACATAAATAAGCTCCCTCTCAGATCTCTTGTTCAGGTTCAGCAGAACAGCCCCTTCATCCATTTCCCTAGATGGAAGCAAATTGCCAAAAACATTCAATGACAGGGGTTTAATATTCTGACCTGAAGTTAAAAATAAAGGCAAAAAAACGGAATTGTGTTTGTTTCAATCATTACAGACCAATTAAAATGCATTTAAACTGACAAAGAGAAAAAACTGAGTCATCAGGGATTTTCTACTTACTCTAGCTGTGTCATATCTTCCACTCCGTTTTCTTCTCGTTGCTCCCGATGAGCTATGGTAGGCATGCTTCTGATTGAGTACATCTAAAATAAAATCACACACAAACACTCAGTAAAGAGGACTTTAAACTTTAACATAGATTGGAAGGCTACAACTATCCTGTTCATTAATGAATATATACTGACAATGATATTAAAATATAAATGATCTGCTGTGCAAGATTGATAGGACTGTATCCAGAGCCCCTTAACTCACAACAGATACATGCTTGAAGCGTTTAACTTTATCCGCTTATGTGCTCATCATTTATCTCATAAAATTGTATCCTATCAAAAACAATCAACAGTTTAGATAGAAAGCTGCCATCCCTTTATTTACCTTACCCTTATTCAACCAGACTTCCGTACTTCCATAACACTTGCTACTGCAAGCTTACACCGCAAACATGAAGACTTACAGCACTGCCAACATTAGCTATTGCGCCGTCTTGTAAGTCCTGTATTGAAATAATTTACCTTGTCATACCATTGCCCCTGTGGTTCCCCCTCCCTGCTGAGATTCCATCCCCCTGGTTCCTGCCCTCCTTGTCCCTGTCCAATCAGGCTGTGGGGTTCCAGCAGCTCCCCATCTCTATACATGGACCATTTATTAAGGGTTCTGCACTGTCCCATGAGGCAGAACCCTTTCTGCACCCCACACATCCACATCTTGCTGCAGTCCCATGCCTTCAGTTCCGGGGCCCTGTGCCCAGTGCTGTTCAGGACCTGCTCCTTGAACCTGGGGTGACACAACAGCATAGGACGGTAGATGAAAAGAGGCCCCCCGGATGTTAGGGTTCTGGAGGGCACCAGAGAGATTAAGTGAACGTTGTGCTGGAGTGCTGGGGGCACCTAGCCTCATCATGACATCACTATTGGGGAGACGGTACTTTGCCTCACGAAGGTTTGGGTTTTTTGATAAAGCATTTGATAGGTCAAGTGTGCGGGGTGCTGTAGGAGGCTGAGGGCGGTTCATCAGAGTTCCATCGAGTTCCATCTGGCAAACGATAGGTGGCAGAACGTAGGTTCTGGTTGCGTAGAGCATTGGAAAGGTCAAGGGAGCGTGACTCAGCGGTATCAGGGGCCCCAGGTTGCCTTAGAAGTGATGTGCCTGGGAGTTTGTAAGAGGCACCACGGAGGCCTGTGTTTAGCATGGCACCAGAAAGTAGAGGACCAGAAGGGGCAGAAGTGGCAGCTTGAGTTTGATTTTGTGAAAACAATGATGATCCTTTGGGGAGCTGAAACTTTGCCTTACGCAGGTTAGCATTCAGTAGGGCGCTTGATAGACCTGGGGATGAAACTGCACTCTCAGCTATTTGTGTCTCCTCTCTTGGATGTGTAATAAGTGAACCGTCTGGCAACCGGTAAGAGGCCTTACGCACATTAGCATTGAGAAGAGCAGAGGTGAGCATTGGTGAGGATGTGGTAACAGGCTCAGGTGTTGGCTCATTTCTTGTAACCAAAGTTCCATCTGGCAGCCTATATGTGGCTTTACGTACATTGGGGTTCATCAGTGCTGAGGAAAGCATAGGTGAGGAATGGGAGGGTGCAGGTGAGGCCTCTGTCCTGGTTATAAGAGTACCATCAGGCAAACGATAAGTGGCTTGTCGCAAACTAGGATTAAGCAATGCAGAAGATAGCATAGATGATGAATGCGGTGATTGACTAGAGGAGGGCTCAGCTGGTTCGGTTCTTGTGATGAATGAGCCATCGGGTAGTTGATAAGTAGCCTGACGTAGACTTGGATTTTGAAGGGCATTTGAAAGCAAAGAGGGTGATAGCCTCCCAACACCATTTATGCTCACTCCAACATCAGGGGTAGCTTGAGGCTCCAAAGTGCCTCTTGAGATCGTTAGAGTTCCATCTGGAAGCCTAAACATTGACCCTTGGATTTGGGAAGTCTGCAATCCACCAGCAAGAAATGGGGAGGCCCCTCTGACCATTTCTTGTTGAGGTGTGTTAGGTGGAGGGGACATGGGGGAAAGGTGTCGCTGAAGGGGCATGTTAAAGGACGCATTACGTAGCTGGGAATTAAGTATAGCGGATGACAAGTAAGGGGTGGAGGGGACAGGAGGAGGTGAGAGGACTGTTGTATAAAGGTTGGCATTGCGTTGTAGAGGAGATGAGAAGGAGGCAGTGCGCAGGCGGGAGTTCTGCATTAAAGCATTGGATAGAGCAGGAGTGGCATATGAGCTCATTTCCTGGTTCACCTGTCCTTCGGGTGATATATGCCCCTGCCAAGCAGGTATGGGGGAAGGGCTACTCTGTAAAGGTGTGGTGATGCTGGTATTCTGAATATAAGGGTTCTGGAGCACATGTTCTGGGAAAGGTGATGAGACTTCATATTGTGGGGAGGATGACCCTTGTCTAGGGAAAGAATTAACATTGTGGGGGTAAGGGATAGAGGAAGGAAGAGGAGAGTGAGGAAAGGGAGCCCCTACAATCTGAGGGTTTGGTAAAGCATTTGTAAGCATTGGGGAAGGACCTGGCTCTACCATTGTATAGCCATAATGGGTGACGGGATGAGGTGCTGAAGGCTGAAAAGATGTTGGCCCTAGACTCTGAGGACTAATAGCCCTGTTGGTTAAAGGTGACGGTGGGTGAGATAATTGATGCATGGGAGAGGCTGAACGGGGGGGAAGAGGAGATCGACGCTGCAGTGGTTGAGGAGATGAAGGTCTGCTCTGCAGCCTCCGCATTGATGGCTGGGGAGAAAGAGAGCCATTCTGCTTAAAAGACGGCTGTGGAGAGACTTGGGGAACAGGGGGAGGTGCCCTCATTGACTGCCTAGATTGAACAGAGGGCTGGTTTCTGGGCATACGTACTAGTGGCTGCCCCCTACCTACAGGTCTGTGAAAGCCCCCTTGGGAAGAACCTATTCGCTGAGACTCCCTTAAACCTGTAGGACGGGAACCTGTCCTGGCAATATTGGGTCTTCCAGCTACACCCCCTGTCTGACCGGAGGGAGGGACTGGGCCACTATGGATGGAGGATCTAAATGGGGCTACATGCTGAGTGACAGAAGGCCCATGTCTACTACGTCTCTGTAAGTAAGGGTTCCCTGGTGATGGTTTCACTGCCCCCATGGGCACATGACTTCGACCTACAGGTCCACCTCTCAACCTGCGAGTAGAGGACCGAGTGGGCAGAGGGCGACTGGAGATACGTGATGGGGAAGGTGAGGGTGGACGATGAGGGGAAGTGGGGCGAAAGGTTTGGGATGGAGACTGAGATCTCTCTTGTAGAGTGGGGCTTTGTCTTTGTGGAATTGGAAGGGCAGGAGAAGGTGAGCTTCTTAACCTCGAAATTGGTTTTCTGCCTTTGAGCAAATGTGGTCTGGTTGAAGGCAGAGAAACTGCCTCCGGGGGAGGTTGCTGTCTGAAAGAGAGTCTTGGGGAAGGAGGTGGGCTTGCTCTCCTCCTCATTGATTCTTGAGGTGAAGCCAAGGGGCTTGAAAAATGAGACTGGGGTCGGGCAGTTGAAGGATCCCTGTGCATCCCAAATCTGCCCTTTCCCCTTGTCATGGATTGTTGAGTTCTAATTAACTCCCCTCTCCTGTTCTGTGGTGGTGAAATATGTGGGCTGGGTGGTCTCTTCCTTTCATGTTGCAAAGTTTGTCTCTGGCTTGTCCTTGAGGCCTGATGAGCAAGCCCTCTCCTATGAAAGCGAGGTGAGAGGTTGGTATCTGGGTGAATGCTTGTCTGGATATCCGAGTAATGTTGCGACAGGAGGGGTGAATGAGGTGCAACTGCCCTGGCTGATGCTGGCCTCAGTGACAGTGGTGGAGAATAATGGGGACTCATTCGCCGCGCTGGCCTTGGTGAAACTACAGGTGAATGCAACTGTGCTTGCATCAGTGGAGGCATCTGTGGCTGTATTGGTAGGACCATTGGTGGCATTTGCCCTGTCTGGAACATTTGTGGATCTTGGAGGAGATGCGGTTGGTACATTTGAGCCATTTGTAGTGGTAGGGAAGACTGAGACAAGTAGTTGTGAGAAGCAGAGGGGGGAGGGTGAGTAGGCTGAGGAAGAGGAAGGTTCTCCTGTTGAAAGACCATGGGTGTTTGAAAGGGGATTTGTCTATGATGAATTGGGGGTTGTTGTTGGATCATGACATTTGGATAATGGAGCTGTGCAGGAAGGCCTGTGTGAAAGCGCTGCTCGAATGGTATATCTGCTACAATTTCGGGACTGTTCTGCATAGGAGCTGGGGAGGGTGGAGGATTCACTGGGGAGGAGAGATACGAATGAGAAGTAGGAGGGGGTGGCAGGGTTTCAACTTCTAATCTGTCTTTTCCAAATAGTCTAACCTGGGGCCTGGGAACCCTGAACTGCTCAGCAGAAATTGGCTCATTGAGAGGGTAAGAAATCTGTTCCAGTCCATATTGCTGTCCTGTCTCAGCAATGTCTGGCACAGCATCCATGAACAAATGTTGCTGATAGGGGTAATAACTAGCAGAAGGGTCAGTATATCCAAGCATTGGGTCATTATATATGCCTGAAACAACATCAAGACCACCACTTATCACCCCATATGGATCCAATGTCCCATAGTTATAACCCATATTTTGGTTAAAATAATCACCATACAGCTCAGGGTCATAGGGTTCATTGAATCCATCCACAGTATTACCGTAGTACCCAAATGGCTCTGATTCTAATGCATACAGCATTCCATCTTCACCATAGTAATACTCCACCCCTTCATTGCTATAGTAATTTCCATAATAATCATCGTAAAAGTCATAGGGGTAACTGTAGTAATCCATGTCATCATAATAGTTCAATTCATCATCATAGTAAAAATTGTCCTCTTCATCATAATAACCATATTCATCTTCCCACTCATCATCATAGTAGTCCATTTCCTCGCCAAGAGGGTCATACGGGTCATAAGTGTTCTGTTGTCTCTGTAAGCCTGTAGGTCTCCATCTGTCTTGATAATCTTCTTCATATCCATATTCATCATCACCATAATCATAAGCTCCGTTGTAATAATAAGCCTGACCCCCTCTAGTGTCTCTGTTAGCAAATGAAAGGTGCCTTTGTTGGCGTCCACCTGCTCTTGCCCCCATTCGACTTTGGCCCTTAGAGGTAAGGAACTTCCCTGTCAACCAGTTAGATGCAGCAGCTATCCTTCCTAACATCCAGCCCCTAGTCTTAAACGCAGGTTCTGTTTTCTTTTTACCAAACATGCCTTTGAATTTTCCTCCAAGTCCCTTAGCCTCTGTTGCCATTTTACCTTTGCCACCTAAACTGGATAGATTTATTGTCTTTGGAGTAGGTTTAGTTTCTTTTGGAGTATCATCTTTTTTATTAAACATGCTGAAGCCAGACAGACCTGGTTTTTTATCAGGACTTTGTTTACCCCCAAAGCCTGCAAAAAGCTTGCTGTTGCCCAGAAGGGGTTTACCATCAGCAGGGGGCTTTTTTTTCTTGGAGAGTCGTAGGAAGAGACGAGAGGTGCTTTTAAGGTTTCTCTTTGGTTTAGTTTTTTCTGTCTGCTGTTTAGAAGGCATGCTAAACAGAGAGGACTTCCCTGTTAAACCTGTTAGAGCTTTTGAGGCTCCTTTGAGTTGAAACCTGGAATCTGCTGTCTTCCCTGCTTTTGCTGCACCTGCATTTTTCTTCTGTCCCTCTGCAGCAAAACCCATCATGACCTTGGACGCTCCTTTGATGTTGACATCACTCATCTTTTTTAAGTTTATTGCACCCATCCCTTTCTTCATCTGAGGCTTCCCCATTTTTTCCGACTCCTCCTCATTAGACTTATGTGCATTTTTAGGAGGAGGCTTAAAACCCTTCACTGCCATGGCCTTTGATGCCCCTTTCAGAGCTGCTTTCCCTTTTCCCTTATCCTTCTTGGTAACCACCTCTTCCTCGCTGGCATCCCCCTCATCTTCCTCTGTCTGCATCTCCTCCTCTTCTTCATCTGACCCCTCCTCTGACTCACTGACAGGTTTTTTTCCCTTTCCCTTCTTCCCATCATCCTTCCCTTTTCCTTTAGCTGGTGGCTCCTCTGCTTTCTTTCCCCCTTTCTTGTCATCTTTGCCTCCCTTCTTATCATCCTTTCCTCCTTTCTTTGGCTCCTCTGACTTGCCTTTCTTGGCAGCTGATTTTGTGTCACCCTTTTTAGGTGGCATGATGTCTCCTA